ATTCTAACTAGTTCTTGAGTCATTTTACATGGAGGAATTATTTGTACGATATTTGTTGATTCCAATTAAATTACCATAAATTGAATTTAAAGTGGTTTAGTCATTGTTTATTAAATAGGGTTTATTTTTAGTTAAAATGAAAACCCAGTCACAGGCATTACAAATCCTGTTTGTAATACTGTCAAGGAGAGCCAGGTCACAGGTTTTGCTCATCTTTTTCTCATCAAGTGGGAATGATGAATGAGTCAGAACACTTTTCTCCTTCTCTCCTCATGATGGCGCCCTTAGACTGGGGCTTTGAAAGCACGTCTCCTCGGTTCCATATAACTGGGCTGCTGCAGTTAAAACATATGGGATTTAAGTTGGGCTTTTCGCAGGAATCACGCACCGCAGCAGAAACGTTGGTGATAGGTCCTCTGTAATGACCGGCTCTGCTCGTCACGGTGCGTCAGCGTAAACAAAACACTGACGTGGATCCCTCGCCTCCTTAGCAAACTCTTCCATTGGTTGGTTAGCTGGTATATAGTGTAGGAGTGATTCATTCAGGGTAAAATCACAAAGTGTGGGGTCCTCTAGCTCCAGGTGTTGAATACAAAAATGTTTCATGCAAAAACGCGGAACTTTAACACAACCTGGCCTCCCACCTCCAAAATAAAAGCACAATATCTTAAATTTGACACACCCAGCCCTAGGCCATGACTTTTATGAATCATGACTAGGCCTATTAACGAATTATTGCAGGAATAAATAAATAAACACTTTTGAGAACTTGCGCCCTTGAATCTATTTCTAACAACAATGTAAAGACTGTCGCCATCAACTTGCTCAGTATAAGTTGTGACGGGAGCGTCGTTATGTGAAGAGGTAAATCGTTTATGAAGGCACGTACATGAGCTTGAACCGGATTCTTACGTCACGGGTATGCGTGCAAATCCGATTAGGTTGGCTGCCTCGTTTATTTCAACAGTCTAAAGGACAGGCCTTGGGCCTTGACGCTGTCTTTGACCATTAAAGCCCCCCCTCCCAACATGTTGTTGAGTAAGATGTTATTGTAAATGATGAGAGAAAGTGACTGCAAAGTCTCAAAGTCGCAATTTGAGAGGATGTATTTCAGCACTGGACAGCTCCCGACTCCCCGGGGACACGGCCCTGAACTTGGTCAGCGGAAGCCTGATCCCCACTGTATCCAAACCATTCAGTCACATGAAACCACCAGCGCCGTCACCGCCGCCAGCAGAAACAGATCACTTCTCAGCCCCGTCATAATCACAAAAGCCTGACTGCATCACTTAGGACCATTGCGCGCACGCGTGTACGTGTATGTCTGTGGTCGCAGCAAGGATGGAATGTTGATGGTCCATGGTCTGGGAGTCACATCCCGTCCTGTGCGAAATTAGTATGCATTCACAGTTATTTCTGCGTCTAAAGAAAAGAGGAAACTTTGAAAGTAAACTTCGATCTTAGTAGGGTGTGTGTGTTTGTGTGTGTGTGTGTGTGTGTTAGGGCGAGTGAGGGAGGAAGGGAGGGAGGGAGGTAGTCTGACAGATGCATCGATGGAGAAGGAACTGTACTATTGTATTCCGGGAGGAAGACTTGATGACGTCTATACCATCCTTAATGTGAATTATTGGAGAAAGGGAGGGAAGGAGGGAGGGATGAAGGGAGGGGGAGGCTTTCGATTCATGGATAAAAATCCAAGAGAATCACAGCGCAGGACAAAAGTTTTAAAGCAGCGATGTGCAGACGGACACAGAGCGCACTTTGCCACCGAGTTTTTGTTTGCCCGTGAGACTGGTTGCGTCCTATTAATTGTGCGTAAAGCTGAGGGAAGCGGCACTGAGAGGAACACAAGGAGACCCGGCAAAGGCGCTTCAGCCAGGAAAGGAGTGCGGAGAGGAAGATCTCTCTCTCTCTCTCTCTCACTCACTCACTCACTCACTCTCTCCCCCTCTCTCTTTTCCTCTTTTGTTTTCACACACCACAGCCGCGCCCGGATCACATCCCTCAGAAAAGCGCTCTCTCTCCCTGCTCTCCTGTCTGTTATAGGTATGTTCTTTATCTCCGGATAGACTTTTAAATCGGGGGAACTCGTTGATGGAGCGCAAGATAAAGTAACGGGATTACTGCCTCTACTCCCAGTGCATGGACGTCTGTTTTCCTGTGTTGACTTTGGTGCTGCATGCAGTGGATTCAGTGTCAATAAACTTTTACTGAACAGTAAGGAAATAAGAGACAGACAGAAACCTGCCGTTCTTTTTGGTTAAGAGGGAAAAGGATGCGGCGCGGATGTGAAAAGTTTAACTTTAAATTTCGGCTGATTTTGATTTAGGTTATTTGTTTATTTTTTGTTTTGTTTTATTCCTAAAATTAAAAGTAAAAAAAAAGCATGTGAATGTGACAGAACAAAGACCAGCGTGATGCTTCTGTCGGAGTGACTAACCTGTTTGCTGTCTGTGTTTTCTCCAACAGCATGGCCAGTTCGAGTAAAGCCACTTTAATCTTGCTCATCTATGGAATCTTAATGCACTACAGCGTATTCTGCACACCTATTGGACTAAGTTACCCCAAGATCAGGTAGGTGTTTGTGCCAAATGATGAAAAATCCGTTATTAAATAGACATTTGTACATAAAGAAAAAAAAACCCTGTGGATAATAATAGAGTTTGCTGAATTATTAAGTTAAAGTAATGTAATCTGTGATGGACAACAAAAGGCAGAAAAAGTGTGTGGGTAATTATAGCACACGACGAGGCATCTGTTGGCAGTGGGGCTATTTCTCCGCTGGGACAGCTCCCAGAAGTCCCCTGATTAAAAATGGGAGCAGAGGCAGTGTGAAGGAAAGCCGTGTGGATGACGGTGGACTGGCGTCACCAAGAACAAGGCGAGGCAGGGCGAATAGGAGAAGCTATTTCCGTTTAACTATTATTCTTTTTTTTTCTATGTCGCGTGAAAAAAAAAAGATCCCATCAGGGCGTGGTTCTTATTGACTCTCCTTATTTTCCATGCATTATTATTTTAATAATAATAATAAAAATTGGCTGCACGCCCACGCTCACCGCGATCATTTTCACAACCCCATTGTTTCGATTTGTAAATTATTGATGAGTCTGTAACAGGAGCCGAGGAACCAGGCTGGACTTGAAAAATGTCATTTTTTCGATTAAATAATTTATTTAAAGACGCCAAAACATTAAAAATAAATCTGTCTGGATTTGAGAACCGTTAAAACATTCTTTGTTTAAAGAATATTAATATTAATGCTTATTTTTTAAAAAAATATTTTTTTCGTTTTCTTTTTAAAATCTCTATTTTTTTTTGTAAAACAAATTAAAGAATAATTTGATTTTAGAGCCTGATGCAGACTTGCTGGCATCCTCTGCTCCTGCGTCCCACTGCTTTACGGATTAGATTTGTGATGCTCCCCTCTCACCTCCTCTCCTCTCACCTCCTCTCCTCTCCTATCTTGTCCCCTTCTGTCCCCCCCCCCCCCCTTCTCTCCTCTCCTGACTCCTCTCTGCAGACTTGAAAACGACGCCTTCGATGAGGATGGGAATTCATTAAATGACATGGGCTTTGATAGCGACCAGATTGCTATACGCAGCCCAGCATCCTTAAACGACGACGCCTACTCCCTGTACTACCCCCCGGAGAAGAGGTAAATAATAAATAAGCTTTCACACCAGAAAGAAAAAAAAAGAAAACAAAGCTGGATGTATTTCGTTGTAAAGACTTATTTGCAAATAATGTTTGCTCGCTTCTAGTTTTTCATGATTTTTTTGTTCAGTGTTATTTCCACATCGGGTAGCCTAAAATGTTGATTTCAATACTGTAAAGCCTTAAAAATGGAATATTAAATTTTAAAAAAAGGAGGCGGCAGCATGTGTAGCAGGACTGTCTTCATTTGGACCTTGGAGCTCTTTGGGGACATTTTAGGCTACTTATGATCATTCTGTCTGCGCTTTCTAGTCACTGATGATCTATGTGTCTTTTATATGTGGCGTTTTATGATCTCAGACCAGAAAGGCATGCTGAGGAAGAATTAGATAGAGCCTTGAGGGAGATCCTGGGTCAGTTAACAGCGAGACATTATCTGCATTCTCTGATGACAGTTCGTGCAGGGTAAGGGCTTTTCTTTTTTTAGCGTTCACCTGCACTCATTTTAATGTTCATGTTCAGGCTGCTGCTCCACTGTCTCTCATGTTATGTGCGCATGATTATTATTATTATTATTATGTTATTTTTTTAAATTTTGTTTTAAAATCTCATTCAAATATAACATTTGAACATTTGACATTTCACATTTTGGTTGTGTGTTATTGTTGCTGCTGCTGCTGTTGTTTGGTGGCGTGACACTGCGACTTACACTGCGAGGAAATAAGTGAGAAATCCATGAATTGATTTTGTTTGACCCTACAGCGCTATTTAAAAATCCTGCGTCAGAATATGCAACGAGCACGCAATGAATTATTTCTAACTTTTCCGAAATCACAGTTTCTGTTGGATTATTTTTATTTGGCTTTTAGCCAAAAAAAAAGAGAAAAGAAAAACAAAAACCCCAAACTGAATACTTTCATTAGAGTCAATAGTGAATTATTAATATGTAACGGGATTAAAATTAAATAATAATGATGACAAAAATCGGATTAATGTTGGATTAAGGTTAGTTTATGTGCTGATAGGATTTTCTTCATTTTAGAAATTGACTTTTTTTTTCCTTCGTTCTCCAGTGAAGACAACAGCATGGAGGACGAATCAGAGCCTCTATCTAAGAGACATTCAGATGGCATCTTCACCGACAGCTACAGCCGCTACAGAAAGCAGATGGCCGTGCAGAAATACCTGGCTGCGGTTCTGGGACGAAGGTACAGACAGAGAGTAAGGAACAAAGGACGCCGGCTTGCCTATTTGTAGCCTTGTTCCAGAGCCAAACTGCCCTTCTGTGTATATACATTCAGTGGTTAAATCAAAGTCATTCAGATATATCTGACCAACCAGTGGATTGCGCCTGTGTTCTTTCAACATGTATTTATGTATGAAGTAAAGCCATTAAAATGAATATTTTAATAATAATATCGTTTTTTTTTCTTTTTGTATAAAAGCACTTGATCCCACACAGTTATATTCTGTGGACCAATATTTTATTTTCATGTCAACATGTGGAGTAAAAAAAAAAAAGGCAAAAAAAAAAAAGGTTAAATGTGCACCTTCAACGTTATGCGCTTGAAATCTCTAAAGGTCATCATATGCAGAAAATAAATAGATTTTCAAAAGACAATCAAAGTATTGAATGTTATACTTATTTTTGTAAAGCAACGTTCTATTTTTTTAGTGTTGTTGTTGTTCCTTTCTTTCTTATATAGGCCCAAAGAAGCAGCGAGCATGCTATGCGAGCCAGATGCGGCTTATTCTTGATGATAGATGTTGCCCTTGTACACCCTCCTGCTCACACTTACAGGGGGAGGAGACGGTGTGTTTGGGGGGGGCGTGTCACAGGGTTAGTACGGCTTACAGCCCCAGCAGGGGCATTTCCACGGTTTTGGTTGAAAAGCCTTACATTCGATGGACAGTTGATTGAGTTTGTCATTCGTTTTGACTCACAGTAAAACTCCTCTTTCAGTCGCAGGCTCTTGAAGGCATCACTGTCTTCAGTGGAGGTGAAGGGAGCCCACAGGTTGGCCCACAGGTTGGCTCCTCACAGTGTGCAGCAAAACACTGGTGGCCTTCATGGGGGGAGGCAGATCATGGCTGCACACAACTGTGACAACAACGCTGTGTGTTGTGTGCGGTGCACCTGTTGGTGTTGTTCCCCAGTCAACAGAAGTTTCCTGAAAGAATGTGTTTCAGCTGTTGGTTGTTTTTGGGCAGCACAGGATCCAGAGCCTGGAGCGAAGGAGAGAGAGAGGGAACATTTGAACTGCATTCACACAAAGTCTTAGCTTCTAATTCAGTGGTGTATGTGTTTGATTAGAAACTGCATGCCACCCAGCTTTTTGGATTGTGCTATTTGGGAGGTAGGCTGGTTTTGACGCCACTCCCACTCCCCAGAAATGTGAACGAGGAGAGCTAGTAGTGGCGAAAGCTGGTACTGCATTTGTTTTTTATTATTTACCTTTCACGCTTCTTTCATTGTGGCCGTCACGTGACATGGCAGGGCAGCAGCTGCTGACCGCTGCTGTGTCGTTTGTCCAGAGACACTTCTGCATCTGGCTGGCTGTGATCATTCGCTGATTTGAAAGTGTTGTGGTTTAAATATTTAGAAAAAGCTGATCTGTGTTCGATATCTGCTGGCTGTGTACGGTGAGGATGTGATGGAGGGATGAGCAGAGGTAAAGGCGTGTGCATGAGAGAGAAAGTGAGAGAGGTTGTTACGTATGAGATGGGCAACAGCAGTGGTCGTCACGCAGAGACCAGGAGGAGGTCACGGGGCCGGCGCGGCCGCCGCTTCTACTCACCTTCCCTGCCAAAGTTAGATCAGGAGTTAATGAGCCCGATGGTTAAAATGTCAGACCTGGAAATCCGTTCACTTAGTTCTCAGCAGAAGCATGAAGAAGACATGTGACAAGTGGACAAGGCCACGCAGAGTTTCCCATTCTCACCGGAACAGGGTGAAATGAGAAACTCTGCCCTGCAGCCAAGGGAATCTCCCCGCTGATTTTTAGCAGAGAAATATTTTATGTATTTATTCAATATTATGCAAATGCAGATTTATGCACCGCAGCAATCCGATCAGTGGCCTGTGTTCCCCCGGAGAAGCTATCAATACACTCTTCAATCCGATTTTATCCTACAGGCTATGTGAGCGTGAGCGTGCAGACGTGGATGTTTGTGTGCTGGTATGATTCACTGTGTATGTGTGTGTGACTCTGAATGAAAAGTGACTGAATGTGCATGTGGAGGTGGATACAGCTTTTGGCTTTGGTGCCTTGCTTTGATGTAAGAAAAAAAATAAAGAATTCGCCACAAGTGACAGATGGCAATTTCAGTGGCCCTACAATGCTGCAGTCCATTAGCTTACATTGAAACTTCCTTTCACTCTGTTTAAATGCTCGGCTTAGTCTGCCCCGACAGTAGTAGAATTAGACTTTTTTTAGAGCATGGCCAATTTGTTGAGTTTGAAAAAAAAAAGGATTAAAAAAAGAAAAGAATGTACATGTCGACAGAGCAGGCAACGTGTGTTTGTTTGTTTGTGTGGGTGCATGGGGCTGGGGTGTTTGGTGTCTGTGAGAGTTGTGAACAATGACCAGTGTTTGTTACTGTTGATAATGAGGTGTTGTTGATTGTTTTGATATTGGTGAGTCATTTATTAACCAGAGAAAAGCACCGACATATACAACAATGTGCATCACTCGCTCACATTAACGGAGTCCAGAAGAAAAGAAAAACGAGAAGAAAAAGAGATTTTGTTCAGATCTTAGAAAAATGTCTGTTGTTGATATTTCTGAAAGAGCCAAACGCCTTACTTCAATGTTGAACCGTATCTATCTGAAAAACAATGTGTTTGACCAGTGAACATTAGTGACATCATTATACACAGGAGTCCTTATATGGGGTTTTACGTCTCTCAATGTTATGAAAGTGTTGTAAGATTTGTATGAATAAATTTTTGTAAACAACAAATTCCCAATCAATGTCTACTCTTTGAAACACGTACACGGATACAGACATTTACCACACGTACCACATTTGGACCGCAGCCAGCACTTGTCCAACTCATACGAGAAGCAAACTTAGATTGACTTTCAAAAGTTGAGTTGACATCACCATCGGGGGCCACTTATTTTTTCTGTGAATGGAGATATTCTCCAGGAACAAACACACACCTCGAGTCTTTTCGCAGGAAAACAGTGAAACCTCCTTCAGCCATCACTCTTCTGTTACTCAGTGTGTCGTGCCAGCCTGGAGTCCTGTCACCTTAAATTGACTCTATGTGCCCAGATTGAAACCTAAGACTCAAAACAACACAAAACAGAAAGAAAAAAAAAAGAACAAGAAACTTTGGTTATTGTTGAGAGGGACTGGTTTTTGTTTTTACTGCATCACGAACAAAAAAACACAGTGATCTGAATGTGCTGCAGTTTATTGATCAACTCTCACCACACAACAGCATCTCCTGCTGATCCCAAACTGCAGTTTCTAAAATAATATATTAAAATGTTTTATAATGTGTTATATACAAAAACAAACTGCATCTATAGAAGCTGAAGACCCATCCAGCAGGTCAACGGAGACTGTCAGGAGAAGCCATGACTCTGGAGCGAGCGTCACAGCGCTCAGAGATTTTCCATCCTCCAGGAAGAGAGGCCCCGTCTTTCTCCTCACTCCATCTTTGGTCTTGAAAGTGCAGCTGCGTCCCACAGGAGTGGAGGATGGGTGTGGCGACGTGGTGTGTACGTGTGTGTATTTATGAATGTGAGTGAGTGAGTGAGTGAGTGAGTGCACCAGGGCTCGAATAACCCAATCAGAACAATGTTGCATGGCAACAATACACAAAGGGCCACAGTTATGAAGACGTGTGAGTATGAGTGTGAAAAAGGGATAGATGTAGATACATGTGTGTGTGTGTGTGCATCTATTATATGTATACATATAAATATATGTACTATTACATGTATACATATAAATATATGTATATATCAATATACATATATATATTATATATATATATATATACACAGAACCTTTCCTTATTTTCCTTTGCCAGAAGACCTTGAGCTTTTACTGTTTTGTCCTTCACGTGATGCACACGCACGGACACTAACCCTACTTATATTTTACCTATTTGTGTGTTTTTACTGTTGTTTTGGTGCTGTACTGCTGCTGGAGCCTGAATTTCCCAAAGGGACTCCTGGGGGATTAATAAAGTACTATCCATCCATCCATCCATCCATCTATCTAACCTGAAGTGTACACGACAGGAGTACAAGACACAGAGTTCATGGTTCTCGTTGACATCGTTTCGCCCTCAACACTCAGTTGAACAGGTGGAGAGATTGCTTACGGTAAACAAAACCATATGAAAACAGGAAGTGCATTTTCATTCGTGGAAACGCACACTTTTGTGTCTTCCCAGAGGGCAGTGATTCCTGGGAGTAGCCCTGCTTCTCCGAAACCCTGAGGGATCGTCACCTGTCTGTGTGGGAGCAACCTGTGTGACACATGGAGCACCTATTGTATATTATTGGCATTTCTAGTCCTTCTTATTTCTTCATTCCTCCCTCTCCCTCTCCCTCTCTCCCTCCCCCTTGCTTCTCTTCTTTTAGTTGTCAAGAAAGAAAGCAGGGCTCAGTCCATTTGACAAGTAAAGACTCAGAGATTTCTCCTGGGACATTTGGTGGTGTTACAGAAGATGCACAGAGCAGGCGACTGAGGTGGAACTGACAGAGAAAAGTATTCATAAATAATACCACTTTGATATTTCCTAGCCTTGTAGCGTTCACACGGAGACGCGGTGACAAATGCTTCAGTTTGTTTGTGCAGCGCCCGGCTGCAGATGAAGGGCCGCTCTGCACCAATCTGCACATAATGCACGTTAATGCTCGAATCAATAAAACTATACTCATCCTTTAACGTAGCACTTCATCACCACTGCTCGTATGTGGCGGTCATCACTTGACTTCCTGCGTCTCTATTAGCATCTTTATGTACATATGAGTGTCCGCTGAACCGAAGCTCAACTGAGCTGTCGGACATCTCTCCTCTGCCCAGTAGAAGACAGCGTTATGGGGGTAAAAGAGGGATGAGTTCAGGGGCTTTTCCACTGGGAATACCCACACTGCCTCCCACAACACCAACAGCCACGCCCCGATTTCTTTGTCTCCATGGGTTTGATGAGTGTGTGTGACGGCAGAAGTGTGGATGCATGGATAAGGCAAATTAAATGCTTGTATGGCTAACATTTATTCCTTCCTTTTAGCTGTGTGTGTGTGCGGGTGGGAGGGGGTGTGTGGGGGGGGGACGCATCTTGGTGCATTTATTTAGCTGCAACACAAACAGTGGCCCCTCCCTCTCCTCAAACCATTTCTCTTGTGTGTCAAGGTTAAGAATACAGCAGCCACAGGGGAGGCCCTGACACAGTTATGATGCAATCATGCACAACTCACCCCTCTCTCACCCTTCTTCCAACCAATGAATCATTCACTCAGGTTCGGGGTGTGTACCGAGTGGCGGTGGGTCTTGGCTAAGCCTGGTTGTGGCAGCCCAGTAGCCTCCCCTCTGCCAACACAGGGCTGTGTCACATCCACCACGGAGTGGGAGGCACTGTGTGCTGAACAACGGTACCTGTGGGAGCAGAGAGACAGAGGAGACAGAGAGGAAGAAAACAGGAGACGTGGGTGAGGGTTTCAGACACGGACCGCTGGTCAGGAGTTGCTTCTGGCTTAGAGGGAAACACTTTACGTGCGACGCTTGGCTAGTCATGAGTATCCATAACTATCCATCACTTTTTATCAGGCTACACGACCGGGGAGGGAAATAAATCAGCGCTATTTGTGATGTCCTAAGATAACAAGTCAGAGCAACAACACCCCGGGAGATTTAACTTTTTTTTTAAGTTGATACCTGAAGCCTTGACAACTCTTTTTTTTGTATTTTTTTTTTTTGATAAGCGACACTCTTCTTGCAGTAGCAGTGTACAATCAAAACAAAGGGACAAGAGCTGCTCACATGCTTGTTAACTCAGAGGAGACAGAGCGCCGCGAGAACGAGCTACAAACCAAACATTCTCACTGTGATTACACACTACAACACTGTTCTGTTTCTGTGTTTACAGCAGTAGGTGCAGAGAGTAACAGGTGAAGTACTATTATTACTAATATTGTTTTAGTTTGACCCTAAAGGTGTGACTTTTGATTGTTCTTTGTTTTTAATTCTATGAACAGGTGATCCTGACCATCCATTTCCAGTGCGAGGTGAACGAGTGATCATTAAATGTTTGCTTTCCTTGAGCCTGTAGCTCAGTGTTTCATTGAGCCCACTCCGGCTTGTGTGAGGGTGTGCAAACACTGAATAATGTATCACAGCTGGAGAAGTTTTGTGCGAAAGCTGGAGCTGGAGAAAAGTGAGAAGAAACACGTTCATGCGCCCCCTGTATTCTCCCCTCCCTCTCCCTCACCTGCCTCCCAATGAAGGTGAAAGACAGCCCATTACTCCTTCCGGATGCAGACATTCACGGTTGCTTCTCTCCTCATTTCATTCCCTCTCACATAGGGTTGTGACAGCTTTTGTGAATGAGATGTGTTAATGAATGGAATAAAATTAAGAGGAGACACCAGTCAAGACTCAAACTGTTTACATCGGCACTCAGCATGTGCTGGGATCATCTGTCTTCTTATTTTCTTTTCTTTTTAAACAGCATATGCTGTATGAGTGTAGGTGAAAATGGACGTTTACGAATCCTAAAATAAACTGTGGACATACTGTATGTTTAAATGACAGGCTGAGCAGGTGTTTGGTTGTCCACGTCTTCAGGATCAGACTGAATACTGTCCTCGCTGCCGTCTCCCATCAACACAAAGGGATAAAATACCATTAAAGTAGGCAGCACTCAAACAGCTAGAGCTGGAAAATGTTCAATGTACGATAGCCACCATATTACAGATTAGCTCTTGGTCGGTATATGAGAAATGGACAATGGACCCTTGAGAATAAAAGATTCGGAAACGTGGTGCCGACCACTGGTTAATGTGAAAAGTCACTAAAATCTATATATAATTCACCAGCTTCTATTATTAAATACTCATTATGTCATTATGTTTTAATTTATCATTTTTATATTCAGTGAAAGTTGGAAAAGGCCAGGGTGTCAGAAACAGTCACTAGAATGTTCTCTGGAAGTACAATGTTGGCACTGACAGTTCAGATAACTGCTGTATATCATCTAATCTAATCTAATCTAATCCAATCTAATCTGATCTAATCTAATGTGATCTAATCTAATCGACCACTTTTCTCATGTTTCTTTTTTATTAATGTCCTCAGTTAACCTAATGCTAACGTGCTAAAAGGAACCACACCAAGTGCAGTCGAAGGTGGCGTGGCCCATGTTGCAGAGGAGTACTGTGTACTACTAAAACTACGGACATGCTATAACAGAAGCTAAACACACAGTACATGTAATGAATGCACTGATACTGATCAGAGATCAGAGTCTTGATGAACCAAGTGACCTTTGAATGTGACGGACAGGTAACACCGAGCTGACGTCACACTTTCGTATCGTCCAGTACGCAGTTGATTCAAATACGCAGTTACTGTGACAGAGAAAAACACAAGTTTCCTTGTTACGTTTGTGGCGACTGTACAAAGAGTGAGGCTCAGTAATAAACAGAGGTGTGAGAGTGGGAAACCCAGAGAGAGGAGGCAGCCCACCAGGCTTCTCATTCACACCTGTGAGCCACTTCTTGTTCTCTCTGTGGTACAGCATCCTCTGAGCGGGGATGGGGGGGGGGAGGGGGGGGGACGCTACCTGTGTCTCCCCATTTAATTCCTCCCTGTAAGTAGCTAAGCTACATGGTTCTGCCTAGCATGACACATATATTAAATTGATTGTCACACTTCTTAAACAACATAGAATTGTTTTCCAAGTCACAGGCGCAGCAGTGATGCCATAGTTGTTATGC